AGGGGCACAGGGGAACTTTCTGGAATGCCAGTGATGTTCTAGACCTTGCCTTGGGTCAAGGTTATGGGGTCGTATGCCATCATCAAACTCATCGACGTGAACACCTTAGATCCGTCTGTTTTATTGTATGTAAATTATACCTCAATGAAATATAAATGTGCTCCCAGGGGATATATACTACTTGCCAACAGGTAAACAAAGTGGAATGACTTAGCAAGGGCAGCAATGCTTCAGAAGCCTGCGCTACTGCTCCCTGAAATCAGGACTCCCCTGGACACGACGCCAGCGCACGGGCCAGAGCGCTCCGAAGGGCAAAGGCGGAGTGAACGAACAGGTCGAGAACCCCGTGGAGCGCACACGGAGGAAAGGGCACAGAAAACAAGGGCAGGGGACAAACACGGACGTTTGAGGCATAGACTTAGCCGTTTCACAACAGGTGATAACAGGTCTTTTTTTTTTTTTCATGAACAGTAGTTGGCCACTTCACGAAAAAATTTATTCAGCAATTAGTTACATGCTTAAAGTACTTAAAATTTTTGGATATCAGCTTCCTTCCAAAAATTGTCAAATGGACACCGACACTTTTTTCAAAGAATCCACTTTTTAAGCTACAAATTAGGAATGCTTTTAAAGCATCACTGAAGTAAAAACAGCACACCACAGGAGTGGAAATGAGGGGAACCTAGAAACAATACATGCATCATAGCATAGCCTGGAAAAATAAGGGGCCTTTGACTTGGCCTACTGAAGTTCTCAGAATCCCTATTGCTTCATCTTTAAATTGGACATCATAATACTTCCCTCAAAGAACTTTTATGGAGATTAAAGAGAAAACTACAGCTAACATTAAACATGCTGCTTTGTATGTACTTAGTGATCAGCAACCTCAATTTCTTTTCTCTTTCCCATGGCACCATATCTTCTAGCTAGAGAAGGTCTGCTCATAGAATCTGTACCTCAACAGGCTTAAACTTATAGAAGTCAATAGAGAAACTCAAGCCAAGTCCAAGTGTACTAAATGATACACTAAATGGAAATGATTTTATTTCCCACAGAAAACCATAAAAGTGAACCAGACACTCCTATGTAGGGAATTGTACTAGAACTAAACCACCTCGGGCGTATAACACACAGTGCAATAAATTTACACCCAATCTTGATGAGGTCACGTTTTCTGAAAGGCACAAATCGGGGGTCACTAGTAAGTAGTAGTAAAGAATGTCCTAGAACATGTATCTTCGCCTGAGAAATGTTCAGTTTATCATTTCTCACGGGACTCTGACCTGTAAGCTGAGCGTCTAGAAGTTGGGGATATATTTACCCCAAGAGCAAAAGAAATGGACCCATGTGCACTCCTGCAAAACACATTAGAAATTCAAATGTCCGCCACGGGCAAAAACAATTCTGGGGCCTGATCATGTTTTGCAGATTGATGGCGGTCTCAAGCTGGGCATTGCAAGAGCCTAGTTCACTCCCTCGCGCGGGAAGAAAAGCAAAGAGAGACAAATGTTGATGGTGATGTCATAGATGTTTTCCTCCATAAATTTCTCCTTCCTCTGAGTTTTTTTTCTGTAACCTGTTGGAGACCGAGCTTGATTCCGTGGGGCTGAACACTGCAAATGATGTGCTAAAAACACTTCTGTCTATGCTGTGTCCATTTCCAGGAGATTTAAAATAGAGGATACAACCACATACAGCCAGAAGACATCAACCTCACTGTCAGAACTGGGGCCCCCTTATCCTAAAATCGGGCTCTAATTTCAACCTTTAAGTCCACACCAAAGAGCGGAATGATACAGCAGTCCACTTTTACAAAATAAATGATTTCCTCATGGTGAGGAAAACGATACAAAAGTCACTCTGATTCTCATAATGACCCCATCGCCCCCATACTCCACTTCCCCATACCACAAGGAGCGGGAAGGGTGACAGATGAAGTATGAGGAAGCAAGAGTCCTTCTGAAGCAACCCTTAGACTCTCCTCATTCATTAGAGTGATTAATTGCATTTCTACTAACCTCAGTGAAATAATCAATCTCAGGTCCAGTTGTATGGAGGAATACAAGAATAACTTAGATAATGGCTATATCAGAGGCACACATGACGGTTTATCATTTCTCTTTTAAAGGTGTGTAGATGAATATGAAATGGCAAAGGAACACATGTATTTGCCTGGTTAACTCCAAGTAACCATAAACCCAGTAGGAAAAGACAAGCAACTTAGTCATCTGACTCAACCAACTAGAATTCAACCATTAAATAAGACCTCACTGTCCTGGATCAGCCTAACAGGATCACTGGCAACTAGGATCCCATATTAAAGCTACTTTTAAACACATGCATACAATTCACTAATTTTCCAAAACACATAAATATACATAATCTCACTCCTCAGGCCTTAAAAGATTAGGATCTTAAAATACTTAGGTTATGAAGTGTTAGTCATTATAAACTGTACTTTAAACCCACTACCTGCCTGGCCCTACCCCACCCACCTCCACCCCAAAGAAAAACTTCAGGAATGAGAGAAAAAGTGCCGGATGAAAAGTCCAAGTCCATGGGGACTATTGGCATATTAACGAATGGTGTTCCTATTTACACTTCCACCACCGGAGCTGATTGTTAGTTATTGTAAAGCAGAGGTTGTGCTTTAATTAACAGCCCTTGGTTAATGGAAGCTGGCTGCAATTCTCGAGTGTGTTCAAATTTCACAAGTCCTGTTTCACAGCAGGGATTCCAGTTCATCCAGTCCTTTTGTGTGATAACACCATCAGAGGAAGTCAGTCTCCAAAAGACCCTAAATAATTAGTTTCCAAAAATAGAAACCAATAAAAAAACCCATAATGAATGAGTAAGCTAATTAACCCTCAAGCAATAAAGTACACGCACTTTGCAAAGGAAGAAGGTTGCAGGGGATACAAACACCACTGGTATTTCATCTCTCTAACACTGATGTGTCTGAAGACGGATCGGTCCCACGAGTTCAGGGGCAACATTTTCATCCCTGCAGCAGAGCACTTCTCTAACTCTGTCCCTTCCACACTCTCTATCCTGCCTGTGCCTGGGGCCTGGAGGGAAGATTGAACTGGATCGTGAGCTTGGAAGAACATAAAACCCCGCAGTTACTGCTTTGCTTTCCCTGCCATCCCGAGCGTTTCTCTGCTTATTGCTCCCTGCGCAGTTGTACCGCCTCCTCCACCAGCCATTCGAACCACCTCTCTCTCCTTCCCAGCTTTACGATTGCTCCCCGTTCTCTTCGTTTCTCTCTCTTCTGCAGGACAGCCCTCAGTCTGCACGTGGCCTTGCGCCCAACCCACCAAACCTGGTCCACGTCAGCCCTCCCCTTTTCCACGTGCGGCTTCAAAAATCAAGGCAAATGGAAAGAAAGAAACAAAACTCCCAAGCAAATATGTTTTATAGTTACCAATTGCAACCCTAATTTTGGGTGGCAAAATAGTTTTTATTTTCCCCTCTTCCTCAAGGAAGTCAGAAATAATAAATACATGCCACTTAAGAAAAAAAAAACAAAGTAAATAAAGAAAAGACTTCAGCTAACCTTCTCTTACTTGGGTTTTCCTACGGATGAGAGACAGTGGGGCAGCAGCCAGAACAACAATGAAAGCAACAACTTACACTTATTAGTTAATCTGTAACAGTTAGTCTTCTAAATATTTCACCTGCATTACCTTAACACTCACAACAACCCCATGCAGGAAATATTGAGTACAGAAACAGAGGCACTGAGAATTAAGTCCCCCGGGGTCACAAAGCAAGTGGATATAACAGGAACCAGCCAGCCAGCCTGCATCATAGACAGACCAGACCACAGAACTATTTCTATCAATATTTCACACGCACGCTGTGCGTGTCATTGGGAGTTCCTTCCTCACTTTTAAAGAGAAGGACTTTTGTGGGAGCAAGATGTGTTGCAATTCCTTCAGCATAGAATACTTTTCTCTATTAAGCTCTCCCACCCTCCATCTATGTTACATACTTTGTGGTAAAGCATGGAGAGGAAAGAAAGCATCAGGAGCAAGACAGAAATGCCCACATGAAGGCATAGTTTAAAGTGAGGTTTCCCCCAGACGAGGGGAATTCTGTGTCCCAGCAGAATCCTGAGCTTCATCCAGAATTCTCCTGGAACCCGCTGGCCCATCTGCCTTCTTGCATCTCCTGGTTTGTGCTTCACTGTGGACCATCAAGACTCCCTGCTGGAACACAGACTGAAATTCATGCTCAAGGGAGAGACTCAAAGGAGAAGGCTAATTGTAAATGTGCTCCTTGTCAGTGCCTAACCGATAGCATTCTCTCCTGTCCAGAAAATGTAAGAAAGGCCTCTCGAGATATTGCCTGGGTGCCTCACTGTCTACCCAGGAGGCCTAGTTCAAGTGGAGGAAGTGCTGGACCAGGTAGAAGACTGAAGAATCTATTACCAAAAAAGAAAGCCATTGGAACTTTTCTATGACTTCCATGGAAAGAGGACAATTAAAGCTTCTGCCTAGTGCTTTCCATTATGTTTGTTTTGGTGCCAGGAAAAATATCAGGAGCTGCAGAGGGAATTTCTCTCCACACTTTCATAGAAGAATAAATTGCAGAAGTAGAGCATTTTGTCAATCCCATTTTAGAGTGATTATAACATTCAGCCAGTTTTGAACTATTATTTAATTCTGCTATTTACATTCTAACCACAGTATTGCTCTTTCAGCTTCTTAAAAACAACAACAAAAATATAAACCAAGAGATTAAGCCAGCCTTCCTGAAAAAGAGAAAAATCAGTTCTGGAAGCTTTTGCTCCTACCCAATTGCCATTTTGGTGCTAAGCCAAATGAATTTTGGGGGGAAAAAAATCCAAGCAAATTATAAACACAAGACAAGCATCAACACAGTATAAATGCCCTCTTTGGAAAACAAAAAAATGTCCATTGTGCTTAAAAAAAATCCAAGAGTTTGGAAACCCATAACTTCTTTCCCCAAAGAAAGAAAGAAGCACCATCACTTACGGTGTCATGGGACTTGTCCTTGACATCATAGACTGTGAGCTTTATTTTGGTCTCCTCATAGATGGGATACTCAGACGGGAAGGTGACACCGGTCAGGAACTGCGGGTCCCTTGTTCCCTGTAATGGCACAGGCAACAACGTGGATTCAATGGGGCAGCAACTGCAGTCAGCGGCAGGCAGTGGTGACACATGAGAACGCAGAAAGGGTGTCTGGGCCTGTTTGTTTTTCTAGGAAACAGTTCCATGAAGAGAGCTCTGATTTACCAGGTGATGCTCACCAGCTACAACATGCCCCCCGGCCCCCAGCACTGATGGACCTGTTGATAGTCAATGCCCTGCTTCCTTGTCAGAGCTGCTAACAAACAGTCTTGGAAAACAATTTCTTCTTTTCATTAGGTGCAGAACCCTACTTGGGGGTCAGCCGTCAGTCCATCTAGAGTACATTTTCTGCCTAGAACCTGTCATGCATATGAACTAAGATACTGACTGATCAAATTAAAATGAAGCCATTTGCTCATAAAGAATCATTTGGGAAGCTTATGCTGTCCATTTATTTCCTTTCTGTAATGATTCCAGGGGAAGCCATGCCCCAGTGACGCCCGTTTGTTGTCTGATGTTCAGCTCTGTGTTTTTCTCAGACCGATTAAGAAGCTAATGAAAGAAACTAATTATGATGGATCGGGGGCTATGAAATGACTAGCTCAGGACACAGTGCCTGGGATCTTTCAGTGTCTCAGAATTCATTTTTATGGCATCCAACATTACATTTTATACTTGAACCATCTGTACAGGGTGGGGCAATCATAGGGTTGCAGGTGTTTGTATGGAAAGTACAACAATTAATAAGTAATAATACAAGGATAAACTCTGTTGTATGTATTCATAACTGCAAACTGACTTTTGCCACACCATGCATTGCTGAATAGCATTGAGGTGTTTGCTAGAGTTTTATAAACCAGTTGACTTTGGAAGTTTCTTAAAGCGCAAGTAATTCATTGACTCGTTCATTTTTTCCTTCTCTTTATTCAATAAGTACTACTTCTATTCCTCACTGTTAGACACTTCAGAGCAGAAAGCGAATTTTAAAAGCCAAAAACAACTGCATATGTATTCAAATAGAAAAATTTGAATTGTGTCAAAACAAATCATCTCTTTTAAATTTTGACAATATCTTAAAACTTAATTAACTTGGAATAATCCTTGAAAATGTTTTCATCTACATGGACCATTGTGCAACTTCAGTCATGTTCTCGTGGTATGAATAAGACTATTTGTGTTTGTTCACCTACAGCCTTCGTCACAAGGGATACCAGCGTGGAACCCGGCGTTTCCACAGGGCACACTCAGGGCTGTGCAGGTTCTGGGCCGTTCCCATTAGAGAAATGAGAGGCATCCAGTCTGAATCATTTATTCCAGCAACTGCAGGAGGACGCCGGGCAGCGCTGAGCCAGCCGGGGCTGAGGCAGGTTCCCCCAGAGAAACTCTTCGTTCAAAACACACAGGGCTGGCAGGTCTCAGAAACGCAGGCAAAGCCGAGGGGGTTGTGAGCGGACTTTCTCTAGTCCCACAGGCTCCAGTCAGTTCCCTCTCATCCACTAATTTGCGAAATGGGCCTGATAAGAGCTAAATAATCAAAAGGGAAACGCTTCCTCTTTTGAATCTGATCCAACACAATAACCAGTTTCCTCTCGACACATATTGAATGTTGTGTTAATAACAATACATGTAAATAGGAAATCTCTCATCTGGTGAGTAATATTCACACCTTTTGCCTAGAAACATTATAGTTTCTCAAAGTCATCCCGGACCTTTCTTTGAAAAACCTTGTCCTTTCAAAAGACAGACCCAAACAGCAGAGCCTATAGTTTCCACAGGCAGACTGAAGAATACAGGGAAAAATGAAAAGGGCAAAAAAGCATTTCGCGAGTTTAAAACTTCTCTGGGCACTTCACGACTTTCTCCCCACCTCCCCCGCTCCCCCAACAAACATTCATTTCAGTTAAAATCTGTATATATATTTTTTCCTCCATTTGCTGTTCTACTGGAGGATTCAAAAGTAGGAATGTTTCTTTATGTTTACTAAATAAAAATAAGGTCTTCTTTGAAAAAGGTAGGTCGTTGCCTTGTTTGTTTATTCAGGGAAGTTACCAATGCATGCTTAATAACCTCAGGTATGCTTTCCTAAATGACAAAGGACAGGAACACAGCAAAGCTACCGGCCATGAGCTAACTTACTTCAGCTGCTGCTCACATCCAGGGGAAGAGAGAGAGAGAGGGAGAGGAAGGGGGGGGAGGGAGAGAGAGAGAGAGAGAGAGAGAGAGAGAGAGAGAGAGAGAGAGAGAGAGAGATGTCCGAGCACACAGCCTGCTCACCTCCACGATCTCCGTGCTGGAGTACCTTGTCAGCCCCTGCTCAGTGGGGTGGATGACCGAGATCTGCACCAGGGTATTCAGCTTCCGATCACGGACAGGAGCCACCAGATCCTTGCACGCTGGCAGCCGCAGAGGAAAGAGAAAAAAAAAAAAAGAAACTGACACCGTATCTCAGGGAGAAACTTCTGTCCCAAGTTGGAAGTGAACTTCACCACGGCGCTGAATGAACTCTCCGGGGACGCGGGCTGATTTTACAGAGGAAGTCCCTTGGAAGTACCTTACAGAAATAGGAAGTCACGTGCTGTGGAGCTGAATTGAGAGTTCATTCCCACTGACCGCATTTGGAGCCCTTGCAAGTCTCCGCTGCCCCGGGATCCCAGCGCTAATGTGTGACTATGCACACATAGCTCTGGGACTGGAAGGACCTGAAATAGCCATTAAACCCTAGCCTTTAATTCACACTCTTAGACTAAGTAAACTGAGTCAGGCCACAGCCGGGAAACCCAGCTGTCCCGTATTGACACTGGCTGGATTCCTTCAAAGGTTGGAATGCACACCCGCTCCTCACCTAGCTACTCCCTACAGCCAGCCAGCCAGCCTCCTACACTCAGTCACGCACAGGGACAGAAACTGGGCTGGGCCAAGAGGCCAGCCTACCACAGCAGCAGCAGCGCACAAGCCACAGAGAAAGGCGGAAAGGTGGAGGAAGCAGAGGAGGGGTTAAAAAAAAAAAAAAAAAGCCCTCAGTCTGGGATTCCAGCCAAGTCTGGAAGGGAAAATGTGGAATAAAGACGGGTTAAATGCTTGCCCAGGGGCCACAACTGTAGGAACTTTCCCTTGAGACACCAGGCTCATATTACAGCCTCTCATCACCTTACCATATTTCCTTGAATATTTTCTCCTCCCACATATCACTCTCACAATTCGGCCAAGAAAAATCCAAAAACGTATTCCTTTGCAGCAAGCCCAACACCTCCTCCGACTGTGTTTCCTCCTTTGGCTTTGAAACGGGGATTTTACTGCCCACAGCTGCACCTTTAAGTATGCTGCAGAGTTTCCTCTGCGGGTCGAGCTCAGGGGACGACAGCTTGATGCAGGCTGGTGCTGTGACGGGGACACAGAGAACCAGCTCTGGTCCTGAGCTCACAGGGAGAGCGCACTAGGCTCCCAAGCATGCCTGCCCTAGCCCATGCCCCCGCCCAGTGCAGGAAGAGGGAGGGTGTGTTTAAGCTACTGGGACAGAAGAACTAAGGCTTAACTTTGAAACTTGAAAGCAAAGGTCATTATCACCTTTCAATCGCTTCCAGAGCATCTCATTTTGCAGGCTCAGAGTGGGATAGCAGGAGCTTTTGGAACACTGCAGGCCTGGTTTTCCTCCAGTTGTCCCAGCTAAGCAGTGACTCCTTCTAGCCGGACTTTGCTCCTGTATGGTAGTTTCTCATCCTTTTTCCTGACTTAAACCACATGTTCTAGTGAAGGGAAGCATGTGGGAAAAAATGATGCCTACAGTTTTGAAGCCTTTGGGTATTTATCTCTTTATTCCTTAAAATGGTGCTTTGAACTATTTCACGTTGGCCTACTGGGGGCCAGTGGCTTAGAAATGTCAGGCGCTCAGGTCTGCGTCACGAGGGCTCCCCGGCCAGGGGCGAACATCACGCACCGGCCGCCCCGCTGCTTGCCCTGGCATCGCGAGTTCCCCTCCTGCACAGCGGCTCTTCGGAAGACCCATGGCCAGCACTGCTTACTGCCCAACCCAGGACATCTGCAGTTCTTATATAAAGTACCGATGTGAGGTTTCAACCATGTCAACACATCACCGGAAGGGGGGTTAAAGTTAGATTTAGACTTGACTGTTCTACGGTGGTTATTTTGATCATTTCCTCTACTTGCCTTATGAAGGTGTTCAATGTGATCACAGGGTTGACTTTTCTGCCCAGTGTGCGGCTCTGCCTCCGTCTACTGGTGTTGAGCTGCCTCCGTGCTGGGGTGGTACAGCTGGGGCCCGTTCGTGTCAAACGCATGCATTGGGCCCACCTTCTCACGGCCTCACAGCCTCATCGCTACCTCATGACACTTTTGCTCAAAATAAGTTACTCCTTTTCTGATTTCTTATCAGGCTTGAGGGTGGGCTGTGGTCATTTCTCAGAAGTGAGCAGCTGCTGTCCATTTGACCAGAGAAACTCTCAGACTCCCCTTCTAGTCAAAAAACAAGAGAAAAGTTCCCTTCGACCGAAATATTCTGCCCAAACCAACGTGCAGGTACCCTGCTACGGATGGAAGTAAAAACCATAACAAGGGCGCTCTGTGTGTCTTGATATTCTATAACTAAAACCAGAAAACAACAGCAGCTCAAGTCACAGCTTGGGGTACACATATTTCTTTTCTTCTCAGCAGCCCAGAGAATTGACTGTTCCCTCGTGCTTGTGCAGCAAGATCGGTCGGAATTCCTGACTATCCCAGATTCCCTGTGTCCTAGTTATGCGACATGAAGTCCAAAACTCCTAGACACTCAACCTTAGCTGGCGTAGCTCAGCGGATTGAGCGCGGGCTGCAAACCAAAATGTCGCAGGTTCGATTCCCAGCCAGGGCACATGCCTGGGTTGCAGGCCATGACCCCCAGCAACCACACACTGATGTTTCTCTCTCTCTCTCTCTTTCTCCCTCCCTTCCTTCTCTAAAAAATAAATAAATAAAATCTTAAAAAAAAAACCCTCTTAGACACTCAACGTCCTCACCTGCCTACCTATTTCTCAGGGCACAGGTGAGGAAGGAAGTATGGCCTTCTTATGAATAGACTTCCTTTTCTATGCAAAATAAAGTTTACTCCTATCATTATACTAATGTATGCCAATACTAACACCAACATTTAGCAGTATTTAGTATTGCTATTCGGTAAAATAATCTTTATTGACTCGCTCATATTCAAACAGCCCCTTCAGTGCTCTCACCAGGCCCAGCATTTCCCTGTAAATACCAAACCCGGTACGAGTCACTGCATTTCATCAAGTGAAACCCATACACGCCGCGGATCGACACATACTGAAACTGTCTCACTGGAGGGGTGATAAATGATGAGTGATCATGGAGAGATTACTCATTCCATCGCATAAAGTCTAATCTGCACAGGAATTACTTCAGTAGCCAATAAGAAGCCAGAGAAGTCTGCTTGCAGAAATCAAAAACTGTCCTATCAAGTCTGCCAGCCCTAGTTACCACGGCTCATTGCCCAAGCAAAACTCTGCTGCAGAAGTGACCCTCGAAAGGGGCCCACGTCTCCCATTGTTTTGTTTTGCTTTTTGTTTTGTTTTAACAGGCCCTGAAGCAAGTGGGTAGTGGCAAATAAATGCCTCCCTGCAATCATTCATTCACCAGTGGAGTTTTATTTTTTTGTTCACGTCTGCCTTTCTACTGGCTTTGCTTCGGACTAAGCTATTTCCAGGTGTTCGCAGAACCCAGAAGAGTTAAAACACACAAGAAGCTGGTAGGTGGGAATTCAAAGGGGCTCTGTGTCCACTAAACGGACCAGTTGTTGTTTTGTTGTAGTTGTTTTACTGAAAGGGGGAAAAATAACAATGTAGATGCAATAAGTAACTTTTTTTTCAAAAAATTATAATTTGAAACATTTCTTTAGGAAAATTAAAGGAGCTGTAACAGACTACTTTCCTGTTAACTCTGCTATAATGACTAGCAAAGGGAAGGTGCACTTCCTATCATGAGTGGCTGAAAGTGAGATGCCCACCGGCGTCTCCAGCCCAGATGTGGGCAGGAGCCCGGAGGTTCTCACTCCGCGAGGAAGGACTCCTCCGTAGCAGTGCCGCAATAAAAACAACTAGAGCTTCAGTACTGCGTGGGAGGTCCAGGCATTGAGCCAACCGGAAAGAAAAGGCTGCATCCAAAGGGGAGACCCCTATTCAAATTCATTGCCTGAAAAAATGAAAGCCTGCTGTGGCTTGATTGGAGGATTTGTCATCCAAAGCTTGAAATCCCAGTCACTGTGTAGGCTAACGTGGTAGGAGTCAGGCGGAACACGGCTGTGACTAGCCTCGGCCAGAGAACCAGAGGTTGCCAGCATCTGCTCCAGAAGCAGAGCTCCTGCTTGGATTCTTAGAAAGAGAACACAGACCATCTTGTGCCCAGCAGTGTTCCAAAAAGCTGAGAGTCCAGAAGTGAAGGGTCAGGGTCTTCCAGCTCCTGATGGAGTTAATATTCTGTCTACATAAAAATTCTGCTTTTCTGAAAGATCAGGCTTTGCTTCATCCAGCCGTCCTGTCTAAATCACACCAAGGCTGTGGAACCCATATAGCCCCTCTCTCTTTCGAGTCAGCCTTGGCAGGGAGCCTGCCACTGTCTCTTGACTCCTCTATCAGAGAGCGTGATCCCAGCAACGACAGTTTTGAAGCGGAACATAACTTGTTTCTTCAGGAGCCTTTGAGCACAGCAGCACCGGCCAAATCTGAGGCAGGCCAAGCGCCCCCCCACACCCCTGGATGTGCAGTACACAAATAGGCGAAGGTGCCTGCCTCAGGCTTTCCCTAGCAGTGCTGTGACCCCCGCCTCCCCCACCCTAGGGCAGGGTGAGGTCCCTGTTGACCCCAAGCAACGGTGTCTTTCCCCTTAAGAGCTCTGTCCTCTGTGAAGTCAGGTTGTTTTTCTTGCCTCCGGTCATTTCATCTGCCTTCTTGCTGTTCGGGGTTAGTGGCATCTAACCAAGTTTACCCTCTTTCCTCCAGGACAAAGCAATGGCCACAGCAGAGATGAGGGCGGGGCACCTTTTATCTGCACATCTCTGCAATTCCGTTCTTTAATTAGCCAACGGAAAGCGAGGCTCCGAGGGGAAGCCACACAGGACAGCGATACAGGATAAAGGAATATTTTATTTTTGCTAGAGATCAAATTGGATTTGAAGCCTGGATCTAGCCTAAGGAGCTATATTAACCTTTGGATAAATGACTTTATTTCTTTGAGCCTCTGTTTTCTTATCTGTAAAATGAAGTGAAAGAACAAATTTCATAAATTTGTTGTAAATATCACATGAAGTATGTATAATGTAGACACCTAATACTCCCTTGAAGTTATTATTAACATGAATATGAACATAGCTGTGCATTGGCACAAAAAT